CTTAGTGGATCATCATTGTAACACTAAATTATTTCATAATTTTGGGACAAGAAAATATTGAAAAAACTAAATGATAAATTTGTTATATTAACCAATAAAAAAAAAATAATACCGTTTCAGAACGGCAATTTTTGCGAACGTTCAGATTATTTAGTATTAGTTATAGTATTTAATTTTTTTTATCTCGATTCCCGACCGACTAAATGTTATTGATGATACTTCGTTGAACATGATGATAGTAACATAAACTGTGATTCATCTTTGGATAATACATTTCTGAAAACATAAAATGAACATAGCCTATAAAAAAAATTAATAAACTTAGCACCCCAAGGAGTTTCGTCTGTGTAACGTTACCGCAGTCATGGTTAGTGTTGACTGTCGACGATTGATCTGCGCACTTAATAGTAAATACTTGACACTCTTGACAGTAAACACTAAACAGTAAACAGAATATTAGTTATTACCTAATTGGCTAATTCCTACCATAGAAAATGTGTTCAAAATTATACAAAACAAATTTCTGTGTAAAATTAAACTTTTATTTTTTATAGCAAATAAAAAAAAATATTTGCTAAAAAATCCTAGTCCTAGTCATTAGTGAAATATTTCTCAGAGTGGAATTTTTTTTTTTAAACATATATAATAAATATTAATAAGCAACACGTTGAATGCCCGTCAACGTAAATAGTCGTGTTTTCGACGTTTTAGATTATTTTGAGTGAAGCATAAAAAACATTTAACCAATTGTTTTTTTCCTAGAAATTACTTATCATTGACGATCACTCAATTTTATAATATCTAATATTAGTTATTTATTATTAAAATGACTTAAACTAAAAAGTCAATAAAAACACCATATAATAAATTTGGTAACCTGTCAATTTATTCTGTTGTTATGAGAATAATATTTTACATATTATTTTTTTTTGTTTATAATGTAATTATGACTATTATAATATTACAATTTGATTCAAACAATCTGTACAATCATAGTATAAATCTACAATCTATTCAATAATTTTAGTTAAATTTATCACCAAATGATTAACATTATTAACAAATTCAATTTACCATCAAATAATATTTTAATTTACAATTTATAAAGTTAATTATTTTTTTTCAAACAAAAGCGATTTTGAATTTAAATTAGCGGATAACTTTTTAGGAATAATACTTATATTTTTATTTAAAATTTTAATACCTATACCATTGATTATAATCAATAACCAGTGCCTATACGGCTATACCTTCCTACAAATATAAATTTTTATATTTATTTATAAGTATTTTTTTATTTTAATTAAACATTTGAAATAACTTTATTCTTATTAATAATATAATATAACTACATTAACTAAATAAGTATTCTGTATAATAATTTATATTATATTGTGTAATTCAAGTATTAAATATAAATATTGCGTTTATTTAAGTATTTTAAAATATAGGTCCCCCTAGCTATTTATTATAAATGTAAAACATTCTAAATACTTTTATCGTTTATCGTAATTTATAATACTCATAATAATATATTAGAGAAAATTTCCGATGATAAGTAATGAAAAATTTTCTTAAAAGAAAACTTATGAAAAAAAAGAAAACAAATTTTTAAAATTTTGAAGTATTTTACAAACTCATTAAGACATGAAATATTTAAACACTATTTAACTTACAACATGACTACATGATACATAACTAAAATAATGTATTAATGTATTATAGATAAGTTTATATTTTCAACAACGGAAAAAACATACAATTTATAAATACAAAGCACAAGCACTTATTATTATTTTGTGAAAACCATTTATAGATTTGTTTTATAAAAATATATAACGTGGCTATGTATAATAACATTAATAACTATTAAACTATGAATATCAAAGTCACAAAGGCGTAAATTATTTTGTTGATTTTATAGACTAGGTAGGCACGTTAAATATGAGTACCTACCTATTTTTTAATTATTTGTAGATAACACTATCCGTAAATTGAAATTACTGTTGCAGTATTGACTATATTTGCCGAACGCATATTGTTATACGCGTTAATTGCTAAGTATAGGCAATAGGCATAAACGACTAGTGCAATTAAGACTTGGACGTTATTAACTATCTAATTCATAATTCAGTATACAGAAGAAAAAAGTCAAATCAACAAAATAATTTAAATTTTGTTAAATTTTAACAAAAATAAATCTGTTGAGTCAATCATAAATTTGTCAAGACAAAATTTGTATTGGTTTAATCATATTTTTATTAGAATTATTAGATTAAAAACTATTTTTATCAAACTTATATTTACCTATCGTATTAACAAAAAGATATTTTATTACTGTTCTAAACGTATAATAAAATAAAGTTTTTTTTTGATTACAGGTATGTGAGGTACGTCATTTAATATTTCGTTTCATCAAATCGAAAAACTTAAAAACAAATTCATCAATTAATTAACTAAATTGAGCACAGTGACCTCTTAATATATAAGTATTGTATACGGGAATTACAAAACAACGTATTAACACATAAACATAAAAACATTGATAACGTATTGTGTATTGTAATAATTTAAGATTATTCCCACTAAAGATATTATGGTTTATTTTGTTTTGTGTTAAAAATTAAAATAATCAAAATTATTGTATTCCTAGAAAAACACGTTAGATAACGAATAACGAGTTTAATTAATCAACGAATTGTGAATAAGTAGTAAGTACCTACATTACCTACATTATACCGACTACTGAGTTCAGTGAACGACGAATAGTGCATTTTGCATGTTAGGTTACATGTTTATTGCTTACGACTAAACGTTTGTTGTAGGAAGTTGATTAAGTTGATTTATTTTTAGATGGGTTTTAGCCGATATAATAATAAGCGATGGTCGAGTAAGTATGTCGGTATACCTTGCTTCAGTTACAGAACACTGTAACACTATTTACACATTTTATACTATTTATATTGTATTTATATTGTAAAGAATTACAACATGGATACCTCGGTTATGTACCCACACGTACATTGTCCGCGATAAATAAGTTTTAATCCAAAACGTAACTATGTGTACAATAGTAAACTAAACATGAAATTTAACGGCGATATATTGTTGTTCAGATATGCTTAAAGTATATGCCCTACCCGAATACCGTGCTGACTGCAAGACTGCCGACTGCTGGAAACATCGAGATGATATCGTTAATATTGTTAATTGTAAAAAAGATTAATTGGCTAATGAAAAAATATTGTCTCGTTCATCGTTCAGCACGTTAATGAATACTTGTGTTATTCATTTTATATAGTTTCGCTGGCCGCACTATAGCATTAATTTCGAGAACAATGACATTTGCCATGACGTCATGAGCTGATTTTTGGTTTGAGAATACTCGAATACCTGCAATAAAAAATAAAAGTATCCCATGTGGCGTAAAGTCTTGAAATATTTTTCGTTGTAAATATTGTATAAAAATGTTAGGTACTTGTCTTCGGGAAAAAAAAAAATTTGAAACTATTTTCAATCATATAAATATATATTTTAATTCGTACGTTTAACTGTGATCATTTATGATTTACAACATGATAAACATTAAATTATATTTTAATATTTACTTTATAATAGTACTCCGAATATTTAACTCGAAGTACTCAAGTATTTCACTATTGTCTATTACCTATCTAAGTGACTAAGTCTGATCATAAGTAACGTTGTAACCAGAGGTAAACTTTTAATAATAATCAGAAAAAAAATAATGCATGTAGAGATGAAAATAGAACATGTGTTGGTTTATTGCAACAAGCAAAACAAATAAAAAGTAAAATAATAAAAGCTTAACGATTTAGTAATATTAGTCACTAGATAGCGCTGCCAGATACGATATTTTTTTATAATTTGTATTTATTATTAACCTAATATCCAATTAACTGAATAAACTCAATTCAATTAAATACATTTTGTTTCATTTTTGATTGCATAAATTCACTTCACGGTCATGCCAACATTTTATTTAAAATAAAATAATAACAAATTACATGGACATATTATGGATTATACAAACTTATGAGCTCTAAGATTTTATGTTCGATAGAGCTAACTTGAGGCACGTAATTCTACTGTAGACCGAATAAATAGTATCTATAATAAAGGTGTGAAATCTTTGCTCTAAATTTCTTACCAAAATTGTACACAGAAAAGGATTCTATAAGGTCTAAACGCCGATAAAATTTTTGTTAGAGTAGGTAGATACATTATTTTATTCAAACAAAATGTTTTTTTTAAAAATGGTCATTTAGGAACCCTTCCATAAAATAAAATCCAAGCTACCTGTATTTAGTTTATCTTATATTTTACCTAAGTATTTACTGTATAAAGAGAACGTCACGGTCACATCACCAACAATAAACTATGAATAATACCAATGGGGTAAATCTCATACTAAATTCGTACGCCATTCTCTAAAATAAAGTTATGAACATTTTAGGCTGAGTATGGAAAATTATTCTACACACATTGTTTTGTACCTGTGATTTTATATATTAATTATTTATTAATATTTTTAATATTTCTATTCTTGTACAATATCTTACAAAACTGAATAGCGCCTACACCATAATAGATTTTTATAGATGTAAAATATAATTTATCAAGAGACTTTTTAGATATTTTTATAGTAAGTATAATATAAAATATTAATATAATCATTAAGACATTGATTTTAAATAGTACTATTTAATATTTACTATTTAGTATTAAGCAAAATTACCATTTAGAATTTAAAATCAATGATAATAATAATATTATAATGTTTTCTGTGATAGTACTGTATTTCGTTGATACTGGATATCACATTATTGTTGGTAACCAGTGTTTCCAAGGAGTCGTCCATACAGTTTGATACCACAATTTTGGTTTCTCTTACCACTGTTTACTACTCGTTTCCCGTCCTACTATCAATATAGTTCTAGATGGGGGACGAGTGGATGACGCTCAAAACTGCGTAAAACACTTACACACACACATACACAAACATACACCACGAGACATCCACACTAGAATTACGGCGTGCAAGATTGCGAAGTAATTTTTAAGTGGTGAATGTCGATGTTTCATTTTAAGTTTTAACGACAACTGGCATTGTTTTCTGTTTAGTCTTAAATACCGAGTACTGTTTGTGCGCCGTCGTTTCACACATATCGTCCGACGACTCGATGCAGTCACGATCCGTTTGCCGCATTCGACGAAAAAGGTAAATATTTGTAATTATAACGAAATGTAATTTTTTATGCCATAACATCGTCACTTAATAGTTAATATTAATAATCATGAGCTGCAGACACTTTTGGTCTTAATCAAATGCGTTGTCCGTGCACATAGGCGGTAGTATGCATACATCTTTTCCACCACGAATTAAAATGTCTACCCACGTCTACATAACCCCGTGTTTGGGGATATGACAAAATAATTTGTGAACATAAGCAGGTGTACGACGCCACTGCGCCTGCCGTAGTAAATAAATGTATTATTGTTTTGTCGCCTGCTGCCTACGGTTAATGAACGCACTTCCCACTGATGGTGACTGGCCCTTGGTCGTTATTAGGTTTTCCCGGCAAAAAAGCGACGAGATGACTCACGCGAATGATTTTGTGCCCGTTACCTGTGAATCACCGTTGCTGTGACTATCACTCATCAGTACAGTTACGTCCGTTCGATACCTGAGTTGTGAGTGTTTCCTCCAATTTTTTTTTTTATTTCCGCGTGTTTCGTCTACTTGGCTGCATTTTAGCTCTATTGATTGTTTCATCTATTCAGGCCATGGCCATTTTCAAATCGTAAGTTTTTATCATTTATTAAAAATAATTTTTTGATTTTATCTGTTAACCGTTTTGCGACAGTGGTCAATGATGTTGCACCACATGATTTTAAACATCAACAGGTTTAGTTGTAAATAGAATGAAGCACTAATTTTGATTGGTAATTGTTAACGATTGTAAATATTTAATAGATATCACTTAACCAAAGATCAAAAAAGAATAGAATACTGATTTTTCTGACCATACTATTTTTCATTTTGTTGATTTTATTATTTGAATATAATCTAATTTAATTTCTTAAAAAAACCGTTTAAGCAGCGTAGTAACATTATAGCACGCCAGTTAAACAGATAATTATTATTAAGCATCGTTTTCAGTAATCCTTATTTCTGTATAGTATTTATAATACTCCCTGATTCCTTTCAATAGCCATGTGTTAACTGTTTATGTCAATAAATTTAGATCATGGTTTTTATTGTATGATAATCAAACAGGCCTCATACACTTGTGTTAATACTGTATATCTCACTACTTCTAGTAGGTAGAAGTTATATTTCATATTTTTTTCATAATTAAATTAATGTCAAATTTAATCTCTAATTTTGTAACTAATTACCTAAGCATATATGATATCCATTTTTTATAATGCAGTCTATTCATTAGAATATTAGATACACATGGTAGTAATAAATAATTCTATCTGTTCTATCACATGTCTACATTATTTTTACTACAAAATCAAATATCAATGGATTCATCTTATCATTCTCAATGGTACATGCATAATTAATATTTAACAATGATGAGTCAATAACCTCTTTCTTCTGCTGTACAAAATTAAATGATTGTATTTTTAAGAGTAGGTACTTAGTAAAAAATATATGGAAATATTAAAAATGATTAATCAGGATTAGAATATATATATTCTTAACTCTTACATAGAACTTAATTCTATGTACTTACATTTAATAACTTACTAGATATACTTTTTGTGTACTATATGTTTATTATATAACACCATAAACAGTACTTATGTACTATTTTGAGTATTCTTTAGTTTATCATTTAATTGTTGATCTTGAAATTTTATTTGAAGTGAAATCCAATTAAAATATACTTTTTATATTTGAAAAGATAAAGTTAATGTGTTTAAATTTTTATAATTCTCAGTGTTCATCAATAATTTTGATTAAAATGAAGTAAAAGAGAATTTTTTTTTATTTCAGTGGACGTATTCAGTGTTAAAAAAAAAAAAATACATAAAATGAATAATTTAACTGTTGAATCTGAAATTGAGTTAAAACAAGATCTTAAGAAACTATCATTAGAAGAGCTTCGTAAATTAAAGGAAAAAATTGGAAATGAAGTTTACCAAAATGCAACTACTAAAAAATCAAAATTAGATCTTCATTCTAAATCTGTTAAACGAAAAAACAAAAACAGACCATCTGAAATATCATCTAAATTGAACCCTTTTTTGAATCCTATCAAAAATAGTAAACCTAAAATTAAAACTATTGTTAAAGAAACCAAATGTATTGATCCCCGATTTGATTCTTTGTATGGTGAATTTGATAAACGTGTTTTCGAACGAAATTACAAATTTTTAAATGATATTAAAGAAAAAGAAAAAAAGAAGCTACAAAAGAAATTAAAACAAAAAAGTCATGATGAAAAGAATGAACAAGTTAAATTATTGTTACAAAGAATAGAAAATCAAGATCGAGAAAAACAAAAGTTGGAAGCTCAAGAAAAATTAAAATTAGAACAGAGGCAAAAAAGATTAGATGCTATTAAAGAGGGTAAAAAACCTCAATTTTTAAAGAAACGAGAATCAAAAATATTACACTTGGTTGGACAATATGAAGATTTAAAATCTCAAGGAAAACTCACCAAGCATATTAAACAGAAGAGGATTCGAAGTATCGGGAATGAAAAGAAAAAAATGTTCAACGATTCAATAGAATAATTATTGTTATTGATACTTAATTCTAGTTAATTTTTGATATTTAAATATTTCATTGAATAAAATTATTATCTTTTATGTATTTGATTGTTCTTTAATTTATGTTATAATTTTTAACATAATTAATTAATTGGTAACAAATATAATATGTACCCATGTAAGTTGTAGGTATTATATAAATTAAAAAAATATATGTATTTGTTTTTCTATATTAAAAATAATGAATTTTATTAAATGTTCATTGAATAAAATATTTCAAAATATGTTTTTATAGCCACCTGAGCTCAAATTATTTTCCTCGTATTATTTTTTTTTTTGTGTATTTCTACAACTGGTAGGTCTACTATTATGATTAATTCCTGTGTGGTAGGTAAATCCCCAACAAAGGAAATCGGTTTCGTAATATTTTTATGACGCGTAATTGAATCGACGCGTCACTAACCGTTGCTAATCGTTCTAGGTAGAGTAGTCAATAATAATGCCTAGGTAAATATTATAATTGCTTTATATAGCAAGCACGTCGAGTTTTGGTGATAATAATAATTACAATGTCAGTCTCTTAAATCATAACGATGTAAGGTAAAAATTTGGCGCACTGGTGACCGATGATGAAAACTTTTGATGAGAACTAAAAAAAAAATTTTAGTAGAAACCTTGCACATCCGGTGGAAGTGCATCCCTTTGTAATCTTGACACGTGTTTCCAAGACTTAAGCACGAGTTGTAAGGCCGGAGGGACATTAGTGAAAAACGACGGACGTGTGTGCATGTCGTGTACGCGCGTCGTATGCGGCGCGGGCACTGCCGGAACTCCGCCGTGTCCCTGTATTAATCGTTCGCGAATTCACACGCTCGCGCACGTCGTCACTCGCCTCGGCGGTGGCGCTTACGATTTATATTTTTATTCGTCCATATCGTCGTTCGCCGCCAGGTAAAGGCGCACGTGATTTGGGTGAAAAAAAATACAATCGTACGCGTTTAAAAAACCTTGGTTCAAGTTTCCAGGTGTCGACGAGCGTGTATACATTTCGTGTGTGTTTAACTACACGGCATCGGTGGCTACAGTTACGCGCAGTAGCCCCACGTGTGTAACGCAGTGCACGAAACACGCATTATCGCGTTTGACGTTTTTTACGATCATTTTTTTTTTTTCGTTCAATTGCCTTCCGCCGGAATGGTTTCGCCCGGTGATTTATTTCTTTAGTAATCTGAGGTCGCGTGCGTTATGTTGCATTTGTTTATCTGGTAAAACATTTTTATTTTTCCGTCTTGGAACAATATAATAAATTCTGATTAGATGTAAATAATATTAATAATATACTACTATTTATTTAATACGTGCGTAATGGTACAGCAGCAGAAACTGCGTCAGCGGGGCAGAGCTCTGCAGCACCATTGTGTTGTTTATGTTACTATTACATGTATATAGTGTGACCCGTGTGTTCGATTTTTTTTCTCCGTGTTTAGTATATTATGTGCGTTTTAATTTAATGGGTTTTTATCTTCGACAACAGCCTCAGGGGTTCCCCGCGTCACACCCGCGCCAGCTACAGCTCGTCGACGCCGTGCACCTGTGTCTGGCTGACTCGTTCACTTGCTCACGGGCATACGCACGACGCACGATATTATTATTATTATTATTATTATATGGTGTTTGTTGTTGTCGTCGATTTAGAAGTAGTAGTTGCGTAAAGTGAATACGATATTTCGTCATCTCTTAGGGATCACATGTGGTCGTGTGCCGTCGACTCCAGTCTTTGCAGTCGTAGTTAACTATAGTGTTTTTACTGCCGTCTTGTCCTTGGTGCCTTAATAGTATCGATTCTGAAAATGAAAAAAAAATGTTCTCCCGTGCCGTTCAGAAAGACTCATTAAATAACGATTTAATGTTATTATTTGTTATCATCACGTATAAGTAACAGTTGTCGAATACGTGTCGTTATATTATACCTTTATATTTTTGATGATTGTATTTAGCAAGTTATAAAATCTTTATTTCGAGAGGAGTAGAACTGTCCATAGCAGTTCGTGCACGCGTTACTTTTTTATTATTATTTAGTTAAAAGTTATCCTAATTTCCTTATGTGAAGGTGGGAAGGACAATTAGTGACGAATATCGAAACCCGTATTCACGTCTCAGAAAATCATAATAATGGCGGTGTAGACACTAACATAATTTTGCCCATGATAACGACAATTTGTCCTCTTGGTGCGTTGTCTGGGAACCACTTATGATGCGTCCTGCAACTCGCCCGTTGGCTCTGGACAAACACCGCACCTCTGCCCGCGACGTTTCTGTTTCTAACCCTTCTCCCACCATCGATCATCGTTTTTAATATTTTCATCGTGTTCTTTACACTCCAATGGACAACTACTGGTTCAGTGTTTGGTTGTAATCGATTGTGACTTGTTGGGTCGCGTTACTTTATCCCTCTGTGCTCCTACAATTACGTCGTTAGTGTTTTTTTTCTCTAGTTCCGTAGAGACTATTATTATTACTTTTTTTTTTTTTTTAGTTAAAAATTTAATGAAGAATGAATAACAATTAACTTTCCGCTCGAATTTATAATATTTAGGTTAGTTGTGTTTTTATGATTATTTATGTTAGATACCTATTTCTAATTGACTAATTATGTTATTTAGTCATTACATCCAAGTGTATGGTTAATGTGTCAATATTTATAATAATATTATAATTATTATTAATACAGTAATATTTATAATTGATAATGCTGTCTGTTGTCTGAGCATTTAATTTAATGATTATTCTTAAATTATTTTTAATTAGTTATGTAAATACCTACCTGTATATTTTTAATTAATAAACCTATAATAGCATCTTATGACATACCATTTTTTTATTTGTTCAAGTTCTAATTATACATTAAAAAAATTGTTCTTCAATAACCAATAAAATCTACATTCTTAATTTATGTATACAGTGATGACAAGAGAAATAAATTGGTAATAGTATCTATTTTTGAAAAGTTTTATTGTGGTAAATCATAAGCAATTTTAATTTATAAATTGTTGAAATAAAGGTTATTTTTTTAAGTTATTCATTTCACATAGTTTCTTATTAATGCATTTTTATGAAAAAATAAAAGTATGTGTTTTCTTGGTTAGAAAATTTTAAATTAAGAAACCATATTATTGTAAACATGTATTAGTATTTAATTATTTTAATTTAATTCAAATAATGTTGATTTATGTAGATCATTATGGAATCTCCACAAGAAGAGAATGTATCATTAGACTTTGGCACAACAACCAAAGGAGAAGAATATCTTCTGTCTGTATCTACTGGTTTTTATGAGGAAGAATTTGATGACGACGAAGTGTTTTTGGACGATTCACAAAGTATTGATATGGAATCATCGTCAGAAATTCCATCTCGTGTTCGTAGAACTTCAGATGTTATTGACTGTGTTGGTGGAACTATGTCTCCAGCACATATTAAACGTCATAGTTTTCCATCAGCATCTGGTGAAGTTTTGTACTCTGCTACATCACAGGCTACAAACATCACAGAGGTAAATCGATCTAGGCGTACTGAGCTAACCATAGAATCAGTTGATCTGGGCTATAGTAGTCCTGGTGCACAGTCTTCTTCAGGCAGATCTTTGAAAGGAACATGGTTCAGGTTCAGTAATAGTAATGATCCTGATTCTGTTGATGCTCGACCAACTCACATATTAGTTGAAGAACAAATATCCAACTCGAACAAGTAACAAGCAACAATTATTATTATAACTAATCTATTTATATATTATATTTATTTTGAAAATATTTTATAGCAAACTAAGTCCTGGTTTCAAGAAATCTGGTGAAGAGATTAGAATGCCTGTATCTAAAGATGCTACATGTTATAATATGGATCACGAATATCGAGGTATCGCTGTTATCATAAATAATGATGTTTTTGAAGGACCTGCACGGAGTTTACCTGAGCGAAAAGGTTCATGGAAAGATGTTGAAGAGTTGAAAACAATGTTCTATCGTTTAGATTTTAGTGTTTTGATTTGGAATAACTTGTATCATGAAGAATTGACTCATCATTTAAATAAATGTATGTGTTGAACATTTTAAAGTTTTAAATTTCATTTAATAATCTTATTATTTTTGTCTTTAATTTTAAAGTGGCTAATGATGATCATTCTCAAAGTGATTGTCTCGCTATTGTTGTGTTAACACATGGAATCAGTTCATCTTTTATTTATGCCAAAGACAATCCATATCCAGTTGAATCTTTGTGGGATTCATTTACAGCTGATAAATGTCGTACATTGGCTGGAAAACCTAAAATGTTTTTTGTACAGGTAATTGTATAAGCTATAGAATAAAATAGTAACTGTATGGTTTTAACTTGTATTTGTTTTTTGTTTTAGGCATGTCGTGGAGAAAGGCTTGATCCTGGTATTACTTTACGTAGAGAAGTGGAAACTGAAGTAGATTCTTCCACTGCCTCATACAAAATTCCTAAACATGCGGATTTCTTGATCACTTTTAGCACTTATGATGGTAAAATTTAACATTTAAAATATAAACTTATTATATGTATTTATTATTAATACTTTGTATAATGATTTATGATAATTTTTTAAGGTTATTATTCGTTCAGGCATCCTGAAAACGGCACATGGTTTATTCAAAGTCTTTGTATTGAAATAAATAAACATGATCTTAGCAACAATGATTTGCTAGGAATTATGACTCGTGTGTCTAGACGAGTTGCATTAGAACACGAATCTTACAATCCAGAACTCCCATGGCTACATAAGCAAAAACAGATACCCACTATTCATTCGATGCTTATTAGAGATGTGTTTTTTAAGCCTAAAAATAAACCTCCACCTGAACCAATTATTTTAGAAAATATAATCTGAATGCCTTAAAATTATACTTGAAGCTAGAAAATACACGCCAACTTTGAAAACAAAAACAACAGCAACTATTAAGTGTGTATTTTATGTATTTTACCAGTGTGAAATGATATAGTTTAATAAGTGCTTGCCCATAAGTGTTCAAAACATTTAAATTATAAGAATTCTAAATTTTGTGATAAAAAAAAATGTCTTTTTAAGACTGAATCAATTTTGATTAACAATTATTTTTTGGAGAA